TATAATGTATGATGTCCTTTATTGTTTTATGTTTCATGTGGAACCTATATGCTGCAGGTCTCCCTTGAAAAAGAGATCTATGATCTCAATGGGACCAATCTGGTGAAATAAAGGTTTGAAATGAAAGAGAACAATTAAAAAGTTAAAATAATAATGTAATGACTAAACTGAACAAAAAGAAGAAGGGAGGGAGAGGCAAAAAGAAAACAAGAGGGAGGGAAGAAATATAAAAAGATGCAAAAAGAAAAGGGTGTGATCTGTTTGGAATTCCTAGCAAGTTTTTCTGTTCATGCATCCGCAGCACATACACAAACATGATCTGAGGAACGTTGAATATATAATTAATATTATTATTATTTATTTTTTTCATATACATACTTGTTGCCAAGTTCGAAAGCAGGAACCTACAGTATGTTGTTGGAAAGTGTGTGTCTTAATGCTAAGGTTATTTCAGTAGAAACACGGCTGTGGAACTTTCCTCGGATGTCATTTCCTGGCTATATTGAAGGGTTGGACATCATGTATTCAAGTCAGGGAAACAATCTCAATGTCCACTTTAACAGAAGAATTATATGTTTTGCTAATTTAATTCTGGCTTAATAAACTTTCAAATGGATTTCATATCAGGCCATATAAAAAGGCCAATATTTGAAGGATATTCATTTATAAATTAAAATGTAAAAATAATTCTGAGACCTGAGCAATTATTGTCCTACTCCACAAGGGTTATTTCACAGGGAAACATGTTTCAAAGTTAAAGCCTTATTTTGTAATGCTTTTGTGTCTTCTCCTTGACACACCTTTGAATACTTGCAATGTATCCTTTTCAAAACAGCACAAGCAGACTTGTTTTTCTGCCTCCTTAGGTAAGGTGTTCCAGGCATGTTCAGCCGGGAGGAGACCAAGGGGCAGCAGGACCAGGTGGAGGGATAAAATCTCAACGCTGGCCTAGGAGCACCGTGGAATCCCCGTGGAGCTGGTTTATGTAGCCGGGGAAAGGGAAGTCGTCTGCGACCTGACCCTGAATACGCTTGTTGGATGGATGGATCTACATTTTCAAAACTGGCTAACCTCTATTTGCCAATAAAGATGGAAAATTCGAAACTCTATAAAAAGAGTCTTCAAGGTGGGACTGCCTTGCAAACTACTTCTCCAACAAAAACACGACTTGAAATATATCTCAATGAAACAAAATAATAATAAAAAACTGGGGTATATACTGTAGGACATTAATGGAAGACACGGAGGAAACCAAACTGGTTTAGCATGGTAAAGCACAGATGACTCTTCTTCCTGTAAGTGTGTGACACAAACAATATGTCATATCACTATGTCTTCCTGGATCTGTTTAAACCATCACCGATACTTATCTGCTATTGTTCAGCTTTCAAAGACTGTCATGTAAGAATGTGTGTGTGTGTGTGTATAAGCATATATAAATGCCAGTCTTCTAGTGTCATCTCACACTTTGCTCAGGACTCAAGCTGTTTCAGGAGATCTACTTTGCAGGTGAGCATCTGTGCAGTGGTTGAAAATGGACTTTCAAATCAAAGGTATTAGCATCTTACTGTGTTGACGGGTAGAGTTCATTTAAATTCCAATGCCTTTATTATAATTCAAACTGGCTTTAGTTCATGTACAGATTGTTGCTTCTTAAAGAAGAATGTCCGACTGTTTTTTTGTCTAAATAAATGTTGACGGATATTTGATCATTATGGTATTTTGATGAATTCTTTCATCAGATTTCAGTGTTGTTCTGGACTCATTCACCCACCAGAATGTTTTCCCTCCTGTTCCTTGCGGTGCTCTGGGCCAGCTGCATGACAGGTAAGATTTAAAGATTTAAATAAGATATTTGTATATGCATATGGCTTCCTCTCACATAATACATATTTTACTTCTCCAGCTCCCTTGCCTCAGTACTCCTTCTCCCCCGCTGTTGGTAATGGTGGAGGCACGGCATTCGCCACAGAAAATGAAAATGGACCAATCACAGGGATCAGACTCTGGGAAAATAGCAACAGTTACATCACTGGGTCAGTCTGTCCTCCTTCTTTAACACAAATGTGAATAATAAATGCCATATTGCATGTGCAATATATGGGGGATCCTATCATTTTATGGGTCGTAACTATTGAATCGATTTTTCTTGTTTAAGAAATATTAGCAGGAGGTGATGAAATGTAATAAAGTATATTTACTTAAATTCTGTTCAAATTTAAGGTACCTTGACTTTAATTAAGTATTTTCTTCATGTGCACATTATAATATTCCACTACATTTCAAAGTGAAATATTGTCCTTTTTACTTTACATTTATTTCATAGCTTTATTAACTAGTTACTGTATGGATTCAGATTTTAAGACACAAAACGAATACAGAACTTTTGAAATAATATGTATTGATGTAGATTAAACTATCCAAGGTTATATTTAGGTACACCTAAAAAAATGAAGAGGTTGACAAAAAAGATTTTGGCCAGTTATTTTTGCTTTTTGTTTGTCCTTTTGTGTACAAACATTTCACAGTTCCAGCTTTTCAAATGTTGAGATCTGCTGCATTTCTTTATGAATACTTACATTTATTTTTAACATATTTAAAAATAAATCTGCATTTACTACTTTTTACTCCTTATACTTGAAATACATTTTCCTCATACTTTCATACTTTTTGTAGAGCGTAGTATTATTGCTTTTATTTAGGTAACCACCACTGTTAGCATGTATAGTTGCAGTAACCTTTTCTGCATTAAGGGGAGGGTCCATGGAAAGTTTAATGTACTATGGAAATGCAAAAGTAAACCATAGGGTTCACCCCCATTGATCTGCTTTCT